CCGGTTTAGCCGGCTTCACAGACGTCCTTGATTGTTGTTTTTACCAATGTTGATCACACGCTGTGGCAGAGAGTCACAGTCTTAATAGTTAGCCTTTCTTCCACCGTTTAAAACCTTACACTTCCGGCCCAGAGAGGACTTCAACGTTCGTTTATGGAGTGCCTCATCTGGTCTTTAACCCTTCTTCTACTGTTCCGGCGGCATCCATGGATCGGAGTGACTTTAGGTGTGATGCAGAGGTCATATTCAATATCATGGTTGATATTTTAGCAGAAAGACTCCTTGACGCTTTGCGGTAACCACATTCTGATCGTTTAGACCACGGCCTTGCATTCTAACAGTAAGAAGCATATCCTTCTGCCTTGCTTCAAGCACAATTCCTGAGGTTGCACTGAATTTTTGCGTTAAGTCTTGAGTATGTGATAATGGGATTGCCTAATTAAGAGATGCTTCGTTGGTGCATGTCGATCACGTTCATCCGTCAGCATCCATCTTCCTCAGCTTGACACGTCGGTCTTTGTCCTGTTAGTCGTTATTGTGCTAATAGTTTCTCCCCTGCAATGCATTCCACAATTGCATGGTAATTTATATCCCTCTCTAGGCAACTTTTCTCTCACAGTTGCCTCATTAAGAATTTATCAGAACTTTCACATGTTATACTGGCTTAATATTTAGCCCTTAATAACCATGGTGCCAAATATTTTATGACTTGGTAGAATTAACCAAACTTTATTAGTCATGCTGTTATTTGTAACGTTGCTGATGTCATAACTCAGTTGAAAGTTCAATATTCCATGATGTGTGATGTCATCAACAAATTTATTAGGATGGTTATCGACATTATCCATGTGTTATTTCTTCTGGAAGATGTTCATTGCTGCAGTGTTTAAAAACTCTTGGATAAAACCGAACCCCTTTAGGCAGTAGATTTGACCAACTACCGAACTCATCACTAGCTTAGCCTTTACCCAGCCTGCACATAGGAGTTGTTCAGTCGGTAGAGCGTCGGACTCCGAGCCTAGAGGCCCAGGTTCGAACCTCGTTCATGATTGCTTGCTTTTAGAGGTATGCAAATGTGCACCACTATGTGGGAACGATGCAAGAAGCCACACACTATACCAATTACGTAGCCCCTGCCGACTTCGCCATTAAAATTAGGCAATCCTGAGTGATGACGTGCAAATGGAGGTCAGCATCCCACAAAGTAGTTTTCTGAAAAGAAATGCGCTATGGACTGAGCGATCATGGCCGTGTGAAGACCGATGTTCCAACGACTGCAACCGTTTTTCATTTTTCGTACTTTGAAGACGATCCGTGAGACAGGGTTTGAAGCTTGGTGTCGGTCAATCATCTCGCAACCACATCATTGGGTTGTGCTGCCATACAATCTGCCGTTGTTCATCAATGACGTCATTATTCAATATGGTTCAAAACTGATCTTTTTCATCAATGAAAGATGACATCACCATTAAAGAACACCTTCCGTAAACATTATTACATTCGGTTGTCCGACTTGTCATCGTTTGGGGTGCGTTTTAAACGTTGGTTGACGCTTCTCAAGCAATCTCTATTTTGCGCTTTCTGCCTCAACCGCTGACCACTTAATTTGGCCATCTGGCCATCCCAACGTGTTCTCAAACGGCCAACTCGACGTAGATCAATGGAACTCATACCACAATTTTTGATTTCCACCTGTTGTCTCACAAACGAGAGAATATGACGATAGAAATTACTGTGTTAATCCAGTCTTTTGTCGATTTGTGCTTGAAACGTGATCCCGGAAAGAGGTGTTGCACATTTTTTGCATCATCGCTCTTCGTATGATCGTCAGTTTGTTCTCGTCAGCTTTGGCAACGGACCAACATTCAGAGTCGTAGAACATGGCGAGTAGAACGGTTGAATCGAAGAGTTGCTTCTTCGCCCGCATTGGTAGTTCACGGTCGAGTAATAATGTTTTTATACAATTAAGACTGACCCATGCCCCCTCCTTCACTCGGCTGATTTTTCCATCTAGCGAGTTCATGAGATCCCCCTGACAACCACTTTATGCAAAACTAGTAATTTCTTTGAGTCTTCACCGTTTGCGTAGCTACAGCCTCGGGGAGAGTGCTCGGTTCTTTTTCATTTCTTCCTGGAGAGGTTAGCCTTCAAGCCGATCGTAAGAAATTCTTCATTCTTGCAACTGCTGGATCTTCTGTTGCAGCTCTGTCGGGTCTTGTGCGAAGACGATGCAGCAGTGCACAAACGAAAAGTGCGCTAACTGCTCTA